ACGGGACGGGACGGGACGGGACGGGACGGGACGACAGGACACAGTGAGTGAGCTGCCCCAGAGCATCCCCAGCACAGCAGAGCCCTCACCCACTCTCTGCCTGAATTTATAGTGGGCGGGAGGGCTGGGGCAGGGGCAGCCCCAGCCCAGGTGAGCCCAGTAAAGGGTCCCTGATGGTCCCAGCACAGCTGGAGCTTCCCTTTGGGGACAGGGTACGATGGCTCGCGGGGCTTTTGTCCCATCGCCTGCGTTGCAGGGGGCTGCGAGAGCACAGGCGGGGCTGCACGGCTCTCCCTGAACAGGCAAAATGAGGATAAAGGCACAGAATAAAAATAATACTCATTGGGAGAGAGAAAGGGAGTAATTGCAATGATTATCTTGGTGAAAGTCCCCTCTCAATATGAGAAAATGTGATTTTTATATATATGTTTTTAAAGGAATTTAATTTTCTTTTCTCTTTTTTTTTTAATTAAAGAAGGGGAGAAAGCATTATTCGCAGTAAAGTTTAATTTCAGCTGGAAGAAGGGGGAATTGGGATGCTGCTCACAGGAGAACCAGCAGCAAGGGACCAGCCCTGCCGGGGCACACGCGGTGCCCTCCAGCGGCACTGGGCCACCACCGTCCCTCCCCTCCGGCGCTTCGGGAGGGACACGGCGGGGGCCCTGGTACGGATGGTGACACGGGGGCCACCCCCGGCTGCTCCACAGGACCCGTTTGATTTATTTTTACCAAATAAAACCGCGTGGCAGCTGCAGAGGGGCCGCCGGCTCAGTTGGGTTCCCGACCCCCACCTGGCCCCTCTCTGCACCCCAGCACCCCCCCGCGATGGGGACCGTGCACCCCCAGACCCCTCGAGGGTCGCATCCAGCCCCTGCACCCAGGTCAGCATCTCACCCACGCCACCGGCGCTCCCATGGGAACGGGCGCAGCTCCGGCACCCCTGGGCACAGCCATGTCGGGGAGATGCCGGGGATGCTGCAGAGCCTCCATGGGGTTTTTTTTTTCCCCTTCCCTTTTCTTTTCCTCCCTGGCGCTTACACCCCACGCGGGGAAGGAGAAGGTCACGCGAGCTGCGCCCGGCACCTGCCGTGCCG